AGGCATTTCTCTGTGTGATTAATCATTTAGTGCACTTCCTTTAACAGATGACCTTTGAGGAGATTTTTGCCCTCCGAGAAATGCTGCTGTATTAATCATAAATACACTACACACACACACACACGCACACACACAGACACACACACACATACACACACATACACGCACACACACGCACACGCACACACACAGACACACACACGCACACACACACACACACACACACACACACTTACTCAGACACACACACACACACACACACACACACACACAAACACAAACACACACACACACGCACGCACACACACACACACACGCACGCACGGGTGCTGGGAAATAATCATTAAAGCATTAACTCTGAATTAGTCTACTCAGACTTGATTGACCTAACTCAGATCAGCTATTCTGAAAGCCCAAACTCTGAGTTTTTAATCTCTCGGTAAGTCAATTCAGAGTTCAAGTTTAAACTCAGAGTTGGTCGAACCTCCTTACTGAAGCAGGCCCCTGGAGGAAACCCACGCCAACACGGGGAGAACATCTTGCTGTGAGGCCACAGTGCTAACCAATGAGCCACCGTGCCACCCGTTATTAATATTATTATTATTGTTATTTGATATATACACTATATTTCAGTTAACATTTTAATTGTTTGTATAATATTTATATTTACAATATTGATGTACTTTAACATTTTAGTTTTTAATTATGGCAACGCAGTGGCGCAGTAGGTAGGTCTGTCGCCTCACAGCAAGAAGGTCACTGGGTTGCTGGTTTGAGTCTCGGCTGGGTCAGTTGGTGTTTCTGTGTGGAGTTTGCATGTTCTCCCTGTGTTGGTGTGGGTTTCCTCCGGGTGCTCCGGTTTCCCCCACAGTCCAAACACATGCGCTATCGGTGAATTGGGTAGGCTAAATTGTCCCCTGTGTATGAGTGAGTGTGTGTGTGTGAATGTTTCCCAGAGATGGGTTGCGGCTGGAAGAGCATCCGCTGCGTAAAAACTTGCTGGATAAGTTGGCGGTTCATTCCGCTGTGGTGACCCCTGGATTAATAAAGGGACCAAGCTGACATGTATATATATATATATATATATATATATATATATATATATATGTGTGTGTATATACACACACACACATATACATGCGCATATGTGTGTTGTGTGTTTATGTACTTTTTTAGTGTTTTTAATATTTAAACAAAATATCTTTATAGAAACTATTACATTTTTTAATTTTATTTAACATTTTAATGGTTTAAATTTGTTTATTTTTTATTTTTTACATTTTTGTTTTTTCCTATTAGCAGTTTTTATAAAAAAAAATGTTCTTTAATTTACATTTGTGAGAGTTAGTGCATTATCTTTTGTCATTTTAGAGCATAAACAGTTCAACTGAATGACAATGAGAAATATTTGTATATATTTGTATATTTTTGTATAAAATATACTTTTATGTGTATTTTATGTTTTTATTTTATTACAATTTTTTACGTTTTTAATTTGAACATTTTAATATTAATTTGAACAAATTTTGAGATATTTTTTCTTAAATTATTTTTATATGTAAATATATTTTTATTATTTATTTATTTGTTTGTTTTATGTTTTACTGTAAAAGTAAAAAAATAGATTGATACTCTTTTTTAAATCACATAAACAATAAATAATAAATAAAACAAAAAATAAATTATTGAATAAATATATAAAATAATTAAATAAACAATACAATAAAATTGAAGTAATAAAAAAATAAAATTGTATTAGTTATTTTTGATATTTTTTCTTCACATCTTCTATTAATGCGAATGGGATAAATCAAAATGCATTGAAATTATGATCTGAATCATGTGTGTATGCGTATATATAAATAATAATCGTGATAGTTTGATTTGTTGGTTGGGTCTCTGTCCTCCACGTGTCCTTCAGTGCTGGGTTTCTCTGCTGTGTTTAATAAGAAATAATGATTGGAGTGAAAAGTAGGCCACCTCACGCTTTATTTTTAAAACCGAGAGCTTCTTCAGTGTGTTGAAGACTGAAATCTGCTTTTATTGTCCACACGCTGCTCCTCTGTTCCTCCAGACTGAATCATTTATACTGAGCCGCAGCTCCAGGTTCATACTTTACTCAAGATTTCAGGTTTCTGCAGGCCGTCAGGCGCTCTTTAGACGTCATTTTCACCAACAGAGTATTAAATTAATTTCAAGTATTAAAAACAATTCATCTTTAACTCATTATTGTAGAAATGTAGCAGCTAAACGTGTAAAATAACAACAATAGCATTATTATTTTATATATTTATTATTATTGTGTTATTAATATCAGTGTTGTTGTTGTTGTTGTTGATGTTGTTGTTTTAATTATAATAAAGGGCTAACTTGTTATTATGCATAATAATACAAATACAGAACATTTATATGTAGCTATTTAGCAGATGCTTTTATCCAAAACTCTATGCAAGTGGGAATTAATAATAAGGTTAATTCGAATTACTATTTTATTCATACTTGTTGTATATTATTATTATTATTATTATTATTATTATTATTATTATTATTGTTATTATTATTATTATTATTATTATTATTATTATTATTATTATTATTAATATGCATTCATTCATTTTCTTTTCGGCTTAGTCCCTTAATCAATCTGGGGTCGCCACAGCGGAATGAAACGACAACTTATCCAGCATGTGTTTTTTACGCAGCGAATGCCCTTCCAGCCGCAACCCATCACTGGGAAACACCCATACACATTCACACACATACACTGCGGTCAATTTTAGCCTACCCAATTCATCTGCACCATGTGTCTTTAGACTGTGGGGGAAACCGGAGCACCCGGAGGAAACCCATGCGAACGCAGGGAGAACATGCAAACTCCACACAGAAATGCCAACTGACCCAGCCGAAGCTCAAACCAGCGACCTTCTTGCTGTGAGGCGACAGCACTACCTACTGCGCCATTTCGTCACCATTATTAATATTAGACTATTAGACTAGAATATTATTATTTAGGCTTATTATTATTTTATCAGATTTATTAACATTAATATTAGAATATTAATATGTATAATATTAACAATAATAAATTAATACTTTGTTCTGTTAAATTTAATTATAATTATTATAATTTACATAATATTATTTCTATTTATAATTACAAAAATAATACACATTAACAATAATGATGATTGCAATAATACAAAAAAATAATGAATGAGTGGTAGTACAACATTAATATATTAATAATAATAGTGTTATATTGTTAATATTATTTTTAAACAATAATGTTTTGTTATTTTATAATTATGATAAATGTGTACAAATAATAATACACATTCAAAATAATATAATGATATATTATATAAGTTGTTATAATTGTGAGAAAGGGTTCATTATTATCATGCGTAATAATATTAGCATAATACTATATTAATATTAAGAATCCTAGAAATGATAACGGCGATAATAGTATTAATAATAATAATAATAATAATAATAATAATAATAATAATAATAAATAATAATAATGATATAATAATAATAATAATAATAATAATAATAATAATAATAAAGTAATAATAATAAAATAATAATTAATTAATTAATTAAAATAATAATAAAATAATTATTTAAAAAATTAATAATAATAATAATAAATTAATAATAATAATCATCATCATCATCATAATAATAAATTAATTAATTAAAATAATAATACAATAATAATACAATAATAATAATAATCATCATCATCATCATCATCATTATAATAAATAAATTAATTAAAATAATAATAATACAATAATAATACAATAATAATAATAATAATAATCATAATAATAATAATGATAATAACAATAATAAATTAGTGGTGGTAAATATTAGTAGCAGTTTATTAATAATAAAGTTGATATATTATTCATATTATTTGCAATCAAGATTGTTTTGTTATTTTGTACATAATTATTATAACAAATATGTACAAATAACCATATACTGTACATTAATAATAATAATACTAATAATTTAATAACTTACTATAGTAAATATTTATTAAAAAAATTACCTTTTAATTGTGAGAAAGGGTTCATTGATTATCATGCATATGAATAATAATTATATTAATAATAAACTGGTTGTTGTGTGCAGACTCCGGCTGAAGGTGCTGTTTGCTGCAGTTTCTCCACCTGTGGAAGGTGTATCGGTGGATTTTACCTGTATTTTTCTGCAGCTTCATATGAGGAAGAACAGGACGGGTCTGCTATGATCTGCTGGAAAAGGAATAAAATGAAATAAGTTAAATATGTAGAGTCGTAGTTGAGCTCTCTTGCAGATCTGCACTTTTATAAAGCACTTCAGTACCAGTGGACGATCCAGAACGCCTCCATTGCCCCATAGTGTTGATGTTGTTGTGTTGTTTTTGTGTTGACAATCTCACACCGAAGAGCTGTGATGATGGAGGGAATCGTCAGGTTGTGTTTTTGTTTGAATTTATTAGTGTTTCTGAAGGGCTCGGCGCTGATGAACGATCATCGTAAACCTCCGTCCACACTGTGATTGTGTTCAGATCTGTCCATTTCTGTCCGCCATCTTGGAAAGGTAAATAGATAATGTAATATATATATATATATATATATATTTATTGGCAACATAAGTATGTGCACACAAACGAGAGCTGGGTGGATTACTATTATTAGTTTCTGATTACAAATTACACATTTAGAATAATCCAATCAGGCTACTTTTTGGATTGGATTACTTTGTGCTAACCCTTTATTTGATGTCACGTATATTAAAGCAGGATACTTTTGTGCTGTTTCGAGAGATGAAGTCCAGATTGTGAGGTGGAAGTCAATATTGCAAGCTGCAAAGTCAATTGCAAAACGTAGATAAAATTGTGAAACTGTAAACTGTTGTCATAATGGTTAGACAAAGTTAAAATTATAAGACAGTTAAAATTTAACACATTTCTTATCATAAAAGTTTTAATAACAGCTTAAAGTGACATTTAAAGGTTTCACTAGGTTATTTAGGTTAACTAGGCAGGTAAGGGTAATTAGGCAAGTTATTGTATAACAGTGGTTTGCTGTGCAGACAGTCGAAAACAAAATATAGCTTAAGGGGGCTAATAATATTGACCTTAAAATGGTGTTTAAAAAATAAAAACTGCTTCTATTCTAGCCAAAATAAAACAAATAAGACTTTCTCCAGAGGAAAAAAAATATTTACTGTGGAAATTTCCTGAATTGTTCAACATCATTTGGGAAATATTTAAATAAGAAAATAAAAGTCAACGGGGGTGAATAATTCTGACTTCAACTGTATTCTGAACCTTTGTCAAAATTGTTAGACATAATTTTTTTGAGACGTGTAGTCAAAATTGTGAGATGCAGATAAAATTGCGAGATGTAAAGTCAAAATTGTGGGACGCAAGGTTAAAATTGAGAGACGTAAGGTTAAAATTGAGAGACGCAAGGGTAAAATTGAGAGACGCAAGGGTAAAATTGAGAGACGCAAGGGTAAAATTGAGAGACGCAAGGGTAAAATTGAGAGATTTAGTTGAAATTTTGAACTGTAAAGTCAAAATTTTGAGACATAAAAACAAAATTGAAAACTGTTAAGTTAGAATTTGTGAGAGGTAAAGTCAAAAATTCAAACTGTTAAATTAGACAATGTTAAAATTGTGAGATTTTGCTAAAATTGCAAACTATACAGTCAAAATTGAGACATAAAGACAAAATTGTGAACTGTTAGGTCAGATTTGTGCGACAAAGTAAAAAAAAATGCGATATGTTCAGTAAAAATTGTAAGACGTAAAGCAAAGATCAAAGAATCACCAAGAGGCGACACTCTGTTGTTGTTTGGAAAAGAGCCCACTAGATGCCGCTGGTGTCAAGCAGGTGGACATTTTGGAATGAAAAAAAAAAATTTTATATATATATATATATATATATATATATATATATATATATATATATATATAT